ATCTTCTACTCTAGCTTTTTCTTATCTAATTTCTTCTACTCTATTTTTTTTCTTCCTATTATCTTCTACTTTTCTTATTTTTTTTTCTTTTTTTTTTTTTTTTCCTTCTTTTTTTTTTTTTTTTTTTTTTTTTTTTTTTTTTTTATATTATAACCTACTTAGTTGGCGTATTAGAATTCAAAATTTAAAGAAAATTCATTCAAAAGATCAAATCACATCTATTTTATCAATTGTTGAGGTTAGGATTTGTCATTATAATAATGGCTTGTATATATATTATACCAAGTATACAAGAAGAACAGCATAATAAGGAACCTGAAAGCTGTGAATGTAATAAAGAATTCGAAAATGATGAATATTATGAAGAATCTGAAAATTATGAATGTAATAAAGAACTCGAAAATGATGAAATTAATAAAGAACCTGAGCACTCACCAGAATCTGAAAGTCTACCAGAACTTAAAAGCCTATTTGAACTCGAAAGTCTGCTAGAACTAGAAAGTCCACTAAAACCTAAAAAAGCATTTTTTAAAAATGGCCGAATTTATTCTTTCCTTGAAGTATTTAAGTATGTTGCTGACTAATATTCTGGAGCCAATAGTTTCAAAGTAATTTACTACAAAGATATTAAATGCAGTGATAGTGTACGTTGCATACAAGTTTTTACTTGTGATCATTATAGTCAATTCAAACCTAAACCAAAAGACCCCAATAAAAAAAACAGAAATGTTGAGTTAAAAAAGTGCAGATGTCTGTGGTCTATTCGTCTTACTTATGACCAAAATGATGAAAAATATTATATTTCACAAAGCATACTCTACTATAACTATCCCTTTATTCCTATTCAATTTATATGCTTCTTACCCTCTAACTGCGAAATTTCAGAGGATATTAAAGAAGAAATTCACCTTGCAAAAAAGGCAGGAATTTCAACTTTACAGATTCAGTCATTGCTCGTAATAAAGTACGGACCCATCGCGAAAAAGTAGATGATTAGAGATGTTTATAACTTAATTAGCACTAATTGTATATCACGTAAAGAATTCTAGACACATGATTTTTTCCTTCTCTTACAGCAGAAATGTAATAGTGACCCAGAATTCTCTTATGAATTTGAGTTAAATCAGGAAAATCACTTGAAACATGTTATCTGGGTGTATGCATCACAAAAACAGCAGTATATACACTTTCATAATATGATTGTGTTTGTTAATACTTACAAATATAACTATTTTTCAATGCCTTTTAGGGTATTTACGGGTGTAACAAATAATGGCCTCTCTTATTGTACTGCTAGTGCCTTACTCCGAGATGAAACTCGATCAAGTTTTGAGTAGCTTTTTGGAGCTTTCCTCCGTATTTTTGGTACTGCACTGCAAACTATACTTATCAATAATGACCTTCCGATGGGTGATACTATTTTTTCTGTTCTGACCGAAAAGCATGATATCAAACATGGTCTTTGTATTTGGCACATGCTTAAAAATATCAAAACCAATATGACCTCTAAACTTGGAGTTAAGTATAATGAGTTTCATAAGAATCTCATTAAATGCTTCAATCATTGTATCGATCAAAATCAGTTTGAAGAACAATTGAATAGTATTGTTGAAAATGAAGACTATTCAGAAGTGAAGTTATATCTTGATATACTTAGCCAGTGGTGTAAACGTTAGGCCTCAGCTTATCTTAAGGACCATTTTTTTGCTGACATGTTTTCAACACAAAGAGGAGAGTCAATGAATAAATTGCTAAAGAGCTTCCTCGACTGTAAAATTAGGCTAACTGACTTTCTTGCAGCTTTTAAACAGGCATTTGATCATCGCGAAGAGGCTAAGTATGTTGCTATGTATAAGAAGCTCATTTACTCCATCTGTTCTACTTCTCAAAACTCTATTAAAAATTATGCTACAGATTGTTTGACGCTGTATGCTTGGAAGAAATTCATAGCTGAATAGAATGCAAAAGATGCATATGCATGTGAGAAAACTACAAATAATGATAGAATTTGTCAGTTTAAATTATTACATTATGAACGACATGATATTATATGCTAAGTGTACTATGATAGCCGTATATTTTCTTGTTGCTGCCATAACCTAGAGTTTGCTGGAATAATTTGTTGTCACTCTCTTGCAGTTGTAGTTCGTCTTTCTCTCACCAAACTCGATCCTTTTCACTTCCCAAAATGTTGGCAAAAAGATCCACTTGAATTGGAACTTGCAAAAGATTACATCAATTTTTACAGCTACCAACAATCGCAGGTTCTGAGAACTCAAACATCACATGAATCATCTAGTTAAAGTGCCTCACAATTCCGATATATGCGCATTTATAGATTATCAGGAGAAATTGCAGACAAAATTGCAATAGACCTTGATAAGTGTGCAGATTTTGTGCTATATCTTGAGAAATACCTGGAGTCTCTATACGTCACTGCTAACGATATTCCTGTTTAGCTTGTATCTTAGCATTAATGAAGCATCCTATAATTAATAACCCCGTCAAAAGCAAGACTGTTGGGTGACCAAAAAAAAGACGAATTAGAAGCGAAAAAAGAATATATCTGCAGCTGCTATGAAGAAGTGAGAAAGACCAAAAATTAATCTTGAAGAAAACCTGACTGAAAACCAATATGAGGAAACTATTCAAAAACATTCTCGAAAACATACTTGTAGGACTGTTACCTAAAGTAAAATTTATGTTATAAAGTAAGCAATTATTTATACGGATAAGCATTTTTTTTATAATAATATTTTATGGAAGTCAATTTAATTACTTAATTTTATACTTATTGACTAATAATTATTAAATTTTTATTTAAATTATCTTTTATTTATTTAACTAATTAAGAGATACAGTACTTTTGTTTTTAATAAATCTTGAGTATATTTTATATTTTAGATTTTAAAAAAAATTTTGAACCTCATTAACGATTCTACTATTTCGTCTTAATCTAGTGCTAATTTTTACCAACTAGCTTCCTGAACTATTTTCAGCAGTAATTAATGAAGAATATGCAGTTTAAATTGCATTATATATAAATAAAAATTGTATATAACATGCAAATAACTTGTATGGTTTAAACTTTTTTTGTGAAAGTGGGAATAGTTTTACTTAAAATTTATTTTGAAATTTATGCCTTATGAAAGCTAATACTGTTATTGTTGTGAATAATAAAGGTTCTGATAAAATTATAATATTATAATCTTCTATATTTGGTATATAACACAATATTTTAGTCATTATCTCGCCTTTTAATATAAGTTTTATATTCAATAATAATTAGCTGATATGTTGAATTAGAATATCATAACAAAGAATAACATTGTTTAAAATTTTGTATACAAAGTGAGTTGTTGTAAAAATGATCTTTTAAACTTACTTTGAATCTATAATTAAGTATATAGAGTATTGTAATATCAACATATTTAATTATAGGTTGAAAGTAAGTTAAAAAGCTCGTTTTCTTGAAAATTTGCTTCCGAATTCATTTTTACTCGTTATTCAACTGATTGTTCAATGACGAACTAATCTTTACTACTCGAAAATACTCAAACATTTCAAAAAATAGTGATAGTACTTTCTTTTACAGCTTAGTATAACTGTTTTACTAGTATTTATTTCTTATTTATCTCATACAGTGACTAAAGAGGTACTTTTATTAAGTATTTTATTTGTTGTTTTCATGTAACTTATCATGTAAAAATTTGGTTCACAAATCATGTTACATGACCAATTAGTCACATGACCTTAGAGATCTTTTATTGGTTGATTTGCGAGAGATGTGCAAGTTATATATCCTCTGTAGGAGATGCCTAAAATTACTCTAATATACGTAAGCAGAGTATTTTCTTTTTCCCTTGTTTTTAAATTTTTGTTATAAATTTAAGAGATAAGAAAAAGAGTTTAATTTTTATTTTTGAATTTTTAATACTTTTAGTATTATTTAAAGGTTCTTCTAACAACTTTTTAGAGGTTTTTTTAGAATTCTTAATATTTCTGTTATTATTTGAAGAATTTTTGAAAGTTTTTTGATAACTTTTTAGTATTTCTTAGTACTTTTAATAATTTTTAGAGTTTTTTTCTAAATTTTTAGTACTTCTGATATTATTTAAAGGTTCTTTTAATGATTTTTTAATATTTCTTTCTTAATTCTTAGTATTTCTAGTATTATTTGAAAAATTTTAGAGGTTCTTATAATTATTTTATAGTATTTTTTTTCAATTCTTAGTACTTCCAGTATTATTTAAAGAATTTTAGAGGTTTTTCTGATAACTTTTTAGTATTTCTTTCTAGATTCTTAGTACTTCTGATGATTTTAAAGATTCTTACTAGATTCTTAATACTTCTAGTATTATTTGGAGGTTTTTCTAATAACTTTTTGTTGTCTCTTTCTAAATTCTTAGAACTTCTAGTATTTTTTGATATTTTTTTAAAGATTTTTCTGATAACTTTTAGAAGTTATTTCTAGATTTTTAGTACTTTTAATATTATTTGAAGGTTCTTCTAATGACTTTTTAGTATTTATTTCCAAATTCTTAGTACTTCTGATATTTTTTGATATTTTTTTAAAAGTTCTTTTAATAATATTTAGAGATTCTTTTTGAATTTTTAGTACTTCTAGTATTATTTAAAGGTTTTTCTAATAACTTTTTAGCAGTTCTTTCTGAATTCTTAGTACTTCTGGTATTATTTAAAAAATTTTGAAGGTTTTTTTAATAACTTTTTAGTGTTTCTTTCTGAATTCTTAGTACTATTATAAAATGAGTTTTAATTATTTTATCTTAAAATTTTATTATTAGTATTTTATTATAAATAGTTAATTTCTTGAATATACTTTATTTATTATTATTACTTTTACAAATTACTTAGTAGTCACAAATAGATTTAAATTGTATTATTAGATTTAGCTTGAAGAGATCTTTTAAACAAGCTATAATTCATAACTATAGAACTTTTAGTTTTTGAGTTGTCTTAGAAACAACTATAATTATCTTACTGTTCTTACTATTCTTACTGTTCTTACTATTTTTACTGTTCTTATTGTTCTTACTATTTTTATTATTTTTACTATTTTTACTATTCTTATTGTTTTTACTGTTCTTACTCTTAATTGTAAAAAGCTATATAAACTCTCTTTTTTCACTTTGCTTCAAATTAGATTTGACCTCTACAATCTCCTTAATATTAGAATTCTCTTAGCATAGAAACTAATAGATAGTCTTATATTATTGATATTGTATTTTAAATAAAATATAATCTTTGCTCTTATATTAACTTTATAACAAACTACTACAGTAAAGTAATATTTCACTTAAATACTGTTGAAAGTTTCTTTTTTATGTCTTATGTTACTTGTATTATATTAAAAAAGCTAATATTTGTAATATTTTAGTACCTTCTAGTGAAAAAATAAAGAAACACTCTCAGAAAGATAATTGATTAAAGAAACTTTAAAGAAGTCCTAAAAAAAACCTTTCTTAAAATTAAAGAAATCTCTCTTTTTTCTTCTGATAATCTCTAAAGAATTCTCTTTTAAAAATTCAAGAAGCCTCTCTTTTCTCTTTTGCTAATTCTAATCTATATTATATCTAGTCTATATTATACAAATACTGAAAAAGAGATCTATAACTTCTAGAATAGATCTATATTATACTATAACACAAAAAAAGAAAAATTATTCTATATTATCTCGAATTTAAGAAGATCTATTTTATATTATACAAACTTTTAAAATTGAATCTAGACCTAAACTATATCTATTTATATCTACTGTTGACCTATAAAACATTAAGAAAAAGTACAAAATCCTTAATATCTTTGATCCACTGGTCTGAATTAGATAAAATACATACCATTAGAATCAGCTCACTGAGGCGAATCTAATGAGCCAAAAATAATTAAAATCCAATCACTAGATTCCAAGATAATGAAATTCTGGCCTTTTTACAATAATCGTGTAATTTGATTAGCTGATGATTACTGCAGGAGATTCGTTACATGTACCATATCTATTACCTATAGTTTTTGAGATACATTTACCACTTATCATATTTATATTACATATCATATTTATTATATATTTCATACATGTATTAGTTATATTATATATTTTATTAGTGATAGTTATAGCATATA